GTTCGTCTTTGTCAATGGACTCAGAAATATTATATCCAATGCATCAGATCTGCTTTGGAAAGAAGGCCAGGCCGCTTGGAAATCCCAGATCCATGGATAACAAAAGACTCCTGCTGCACCTTCAAGGCCAACGCATTTATTACAGCAGAAGCATGCTACTTTGATTGCTGTGAACTAATATGGCTTCCCTTCTGGAACAAATCCATGGAGACGTTTGCCAGCCATCCCAAGCGCCGGGTGTGACAGGGCTTTGACCCGGTGCAACACACCTGTCAAGGGAAAGCTATTTCTCCACTCTGACGGGGCTCATTGGATTGGGGGGGGGTCGAAGAGGTTTTTCATTTCCCGACCCGAGTCTTCAGGCACTTCTATCTTCATTTCCTGCTTCCCGTTTAAGCGATCTCTCTTATCCTCCGGGGCGTGCTTTCTCTTCTCCAAGACCCATTACTGTGGCTCTGTTCACACTTATAAATTAGGCTTTGTCAGCAGCTCCGTTCTGCATTTTGACAAGCAGGGCTGAAAAATTCACCCCAGTGACATCTCTAGCGCAGAAGTCATTTTTCCCCCCTTTCACCAAAATCCAAGTTTGGGAGGGGAAAATGGGTAACAACCCATTGATACCCTCTTTCACTCTCTCTCTCTCTTTTTTTAGGAAAGAGATCCCCTTAGCATTATTTTCTAGGTTTTTTAAGTAGGATACAGAAAGCAGAGATGGCTGGTATGTCTGTCATGGAGAAGCTGAAAGAACCAGCAAGGGGAGAGGGGTTGTGGCTCAGTGGGAGAGTATCTGTGGCATGCAGGAGGTTCCAGGTTCTAATCCCCAGCATCTCCAGTTGAAAGAACCAGTGTGAAAGACCTCAGCCTGAGTGCCTGGAGAGTCGCTGCCAGTCTGAGTAGACAAGACTGACTTCGATGGACCGATGGTCTGATTCAATATCAGGCAGCTTCATGTGTTCATGTGAGATGTAGCGGTTAGCGGGAGGATGAGGGAGACCCGCGTTCAGATCCCCACTCAGGCATAGAAGCGCTCTAGGAGACCTTGGGCCAGTCAGATTGCTGACACCCTAACCTACCTCACAGGGTTGTTGCATGGATTTATTTATTTATTGTATTTGTATCCCGCCCATCCCGCGAGCGGGCTCAGGGCAGGTCACATCATCTCTCAACAATTACAATAAACTTTAAAAGCACAGTATAACTCAGCAATTGCAATAAACTTTAAAAGCACAATATAAACGTTTAAAACCAGTCGTTATAGCTGCTGGTGAAAGTTCCGGCCCATTGATACAGATGGATATGGCACGGATGGATGGCCGGTAGGTGGGAGACAGCAACCTCGGGGAGGCCATAGGTGGACACCCGTTGCCTCAGCCAAAAGCCTGGTGGGACAGCTCTGTCTTGCATGCCCTGCAAAACTAAAGAAGATCCCGCAGGGCCCTGATCTCGATGGGGAGAAGGCCCTGGCCCTGGTCGAGGCTAGGCGGACGTCCCTTGGGCCAGGGACTGCCAGGAGATGTTGGTTATTAAAGCGTAAAGCTCTTCGAGGCGTATACAGGGAGAGGCAGTCCCTTAGGTATGTTGGTCCCAGGCCGTTTAAGGCTTTGGAGGTTGAAGGATGAAATGGAGGAGCAGAGAATGATGTAGCAGGACACTTCAGGTCCTCATTGAGGAGAGAGGTGGGGTCTAAAAGTTTATGTATACCCCTTTAAGAGCCCTGTCCGTTCAATTAAATCTGCATTCACTTACATAAGAATAGAGCACCGCAGGGGGATACATTGTTGGCAGCAGGGCTATTTTTGGGCAGGAACGCACAGGAACGGAGTTCCGGCTGGCTCCCAAGTTGGCCACGCCCAGCAGGAACTCATTAGCATAATAGGCCACACCCAACAGCAGAAACACATTAGGATTGGCTACATTAGGGGTGTGTGGCCTAACATGCAAAGGAGTCCCTGCTACAAAAAAGCCCTGCCTGAGTCTCACCTATAGCTCCATTGAAATGCGGGAGAACTGTGGATAACACATCCAGATAGGGTTGCCTACCTCCAGGTGGTGGCTGGAGATCCCCTGGGATGACAGCCTATCTCCAGGCAGCAGAGATCAGTTCACCTGCAGAAAATGGCCGGTTTAGAAGGTGAACTCTTATGGCATTCCACCACGAGCCCTGCCCTCCTCAGACTTCCACCCACCAAATCTCCAGATATTTCCCAACCCAGAGCTGGCAACCCTAGTAAAGAGAGGTCTTTTGGCCAATGCATGTAAAGGAAAGGAAAGTGGGCACCAGGCAGGCCTCAAGGGGTAAGACATTCCCAGTGGGGGTGCCACCACCAAAAAAGCCCTGTTTGTGGTTGCCGCCCGCCTTACCTCTCCAGGTAGGGACACAGAGAGCAGTGCTGCTGATGAGAATTTCAGCCGGAGGCACAATCTGAAGTAAAGTCCAAGATGTGCAGAAGGAGAGCAGAAACGAACGCTTCTCCCCGAGTTCTTTCAATCTAGAAATTTGTTTTTAATGCCATGGATTTTTCCAAGAATGACACAGCAAAAATGTACAACGTCTTAAGACAAAAGAGTGGGGGGGGGAATATAATTAATTGAAAAGAAAAATCCGAAAGTGAGTGCATGGACTGTAACGTATCAAAGTAATGACAAATATCCATTCTAGTGAATATAAAACATAAGTCATTTTTGTAAAGTAATGAAGCCTAACTAAAAGGATTAGTGCAGTGCTGAGAGCCTACGGGTACTGGAATTCCCATTAATATGTGAAATGATTTTTAAAAAAATACGATTTGAGAAGGCGTTTTGATAGTTCTAACTGGAATGTTGATTTCCCCGTGGATGCCAGCTCCTAAATTTCGCTGTGCCAATCATTGATGTTTAATATGTTGATTTCCAATGCTGTGCTTTTTTCCATTGAAACCACGTTGTGCAGAACAGGGATCTGAATTTTTTAAATGGGGAATATTCCCTGGCTGTATCTGGCCTCTGACTTTGACTTCACTTGGTGGTCCGAACGGCATGCTTTAGAGTGCCATGGCCACATCTCTCGCCACGTTCCTTTATCCTAAAAGACATGGTGGTTCACAATTTGGGTCAGGGCTGCAATGCTAGGCAAAGGGTGGAGATAAACTCTTGCTGAGCCAGTTTCCCGGTTGAAGCGAGATGCCTTGGGCTGAAATTAGACTGGGGACCCAGTTTTTCCCAGCCTTCTTGATCTCACAATTAGCCCGTGCTTTCGCCGGTATGAACGGACCAAGATGATCTAACACCAATGGGACTGTACTCCCATTATGATTGATCTGTTACCAATGTTTCGCCATCGTTGTATAACATTATTCACTAGCACTTTATGAATTGGTTTCATATATGCTGTTTTTTTATCTGCTTAATTTTTATGTAAGCCATCCTGAGCCTGCTTCAGTGGAGAGGGCGGGGTATAAATCGAATGAATGAATGAATGAATGAATGAATGAATGAATGAATGAATGAATGAATGAATGAATGAATGGAGGGTTGACAGGTCCCCCCCAGCCACCGGTGGGGGGATGGAGGAGAGGTTGGTCAGCTCCAGGATGGGAAACTCCTGGAGATTTGGGGGTGGAGCCTGGGGAGAACAGGGTCCTCCATGGGAGAGAACAAGGACCATAGAGTCCACCCTTCAAAGCATCCATTTTCTCTGTAGTCTGGAGATGAGCTGTAATCCCAGAGGATAGAATTGTAGAATCATAGAGTTGGAAGGGACACCCAGGGTCATCTAGTCCAATTCCCTCCACGATGCAGGAAATTCACAAATACCTCCCCCTCCACACCCGCAGTGACCACTGTTCCACACCCAGAAAATGACAAAAAAAACCCTCTCCAGGATCTCCAGCCAAAGTGGAGGCTTGCATCCCTACACCCAGTTCCCAGCAGACGTGCTGCCTCTAGGAAGCAATGAGGTGTGATTTCTCCAGATCTTGACCTCCTCCTCCTCTCCTGCCTGTGGGGCTTAGCAAGAGCCTAACCATGCCAGTCCTTGATGCCAGCCTTGCGCATGGCAAGAAGATTATTTTTGTCATGCAGAAACATTTGCTCCCCCCCCCTCACTTTACTGAAATACCCTCTAGAACAGGGGTGTCAAACTCATTTGTTATGAGGGCCGGATCTGGCATAAATGAGACCTTGCTGGGCCAGGCCATGTGTGTCATAAAATGTAGCGGAGATATAAACTTTATAAAGGACACAAGCACAAAGGGGTGTTTTTTGTACTTAAAATAAAAACGTGCTCAAAACATTAGCACTCTTGCAGCTGTAGACATCTTAATATGCCATCTTAATATGCAAGTAATGAATTGAACAACTAACAGCACCTTATGGTTTTATGTTTTTATCTGTAATGTATTGTTGTATATTGTTTTATTGGTTTTACCGGCAATTGGTGCCATCGCTGTAAGCCGCCCTGAGCCCGCTTGCGGGGGAGGGTGGGGTGTAAATTAAATAATAATAATAATATTTTGTTTAGTTAACAGTTTATTTAATGGGGGGGCAACAGTGGGAGGGCTTCTAGTGTCCTGGCCCCACTGCAGGACCTCCTGATGGCACCTGGTATTTTTGGCCACTGTGTGACAGAGTGTTGGACTAGATGGGCCATTGGCCTGATCAAACATTGGCTTCTCTTATGTTCTTATGACACCTCTTGCTCTGAATTATTACATCAAAATGTCTGTGCTTTTGCAATCTTGAGTATGCTGTTCAGGTGTGTATCTGTAAGCTGCAAACCTACGATGATGCAGCAGCAGCCGCAGAACTGGAAGAAGCAGAAGACAGCCAGTTCCACTGTGGGCCTGATAGAAGCCCTCCAGGGGCCTGATTCAGCCCCCAGGCCGCATGTTTGACACCCCTGCTCTAGAACCTCAGTAGCCCTGCCAGTGCAGCAAGCCCGGCTATGTCCTTGTTTTGAAACTGGGTCCTTCCGTCCATCCTAAGAGGCCCCTTCTGGTTTTTTTATTTCCCTCTCTCCCCAGCCGTGGAGTCCCTACACACCTTGAATGACCAGATCTCCGACTTCATTGTAAACAAGGCAAAGGCGCTCACCGAAGAGGACGATTCCTTCCTGCCGGAGGAGAAAGAGACCCTGAAAACGTCGATGTTGCTCATGAGGCACCTCTTGATGGATGCGCAGGTATGAAATCCATGCATTTCTACAACAAGCAGTCGTTCTTTGGCTTCTGGAAGTGAGACCCAGATCTAACTTTTCTCAGAGACCAACAAGATGTCCAGGGCATAAGCTTTGGAGAGGCAAAGCTCCCTTCATCAGCTAACAAGATAACAAGTTACATTTCTACTTATATCTGGCAAAGGGAGCTTTGACTCTCCAAATCTTATACCCTGGAAATCTTATTTGCCTCTAAGGTGCTACTGGATTCGAATCTTGGTCTTCTACTACAGACCAACACAGCTACCCACCTGGAACCTTCTAACCTTCTAACTTTCCGTATTTCTTAAGAAATGTGCAGTCCCTTTTGCAAAATAACTCCATGCATCATTCCCTCTCTCCGGCATAAAATGAAGGAATCTTACTTCGGTTAGCATATTTATATGTTGATGCTTCAGGAATATCTAGCACTGCCGAGCAGCTGGCTGCATTTCATGGTGTTCTGTGCTTCATACAGAAGCAAGCCCCTAGATTTCCCCACCAAGCTTCTCAGAGCCTCTTCTGCCAGTTCACTCTGCTCCTTTGCTGCTCCCTGGCCTTGTATGAGAGCCACCTTTGAGTCCTGACCCACTGTGGGAGACCTGCTTTACGCTAGCCATCCCTACCCATCCAAATGATGGGCTTTGGGGGTTTGGGGGGGACTTTAGAGGCCATTTAGCATTTAAGTCTGGAAGTTGTTGGCACCTTTCAGTTGAATATTTATACGTATTGCAATATGGACATGCTTTTTGGAATCAAGAGCGCTTGCCAAAAACCATGGCAATCTTAGACTTTTTCTATTTCAGCAATTTAGGGCTGAAGGAAGTAGTTAACGTTCTAGGAAACTGTAGCTCGTCATCTTGAAAGAACCAAGTCCTGCCTCTCTGACTTTTTTAGAGTCTTTGAGAAAGTGAGTAAGCATGTAGGTAACGGTGACTTTATAGACATTATATACTTGGACTTTCAGAAGGCTTTTGACAACGCACCTCACCAAAGACTCCTGATTAAATTTTGCAGTCATGGGATAAGAGGACGGGTTCTCTTGTGGATGAAAAATTGGTTAAAGGACAGGCAGCAAAGACTGGGAATCAATGGACAGTTCTCACAATGGAGGGAAGTAAGCAGTGGGGGTCCCAGAAGGATTGTTATTGGGGCCAGCACGATTTTATTTATTCATATATGATCTTGCACTGGGGGTGAGCAGTGGCCAAGTTTGCAGATGACACATGATTCAGGATGGTGAAAACCGAGGCTGACTGGGAAGAGCTCCAAGAGGATCTCCGTAAACTGGGTGAGTGGGTGACAATGTGGCCAATGAAGTTCAGTGTCGGTAAGTGTCAGGTGATGCACACTGGGACAAAAAATATCCCAGTTTCAAATAGAGGCTAACGGGGTCTGAACTTGCTGAGACTGAAAGGGGAAAAGATCTTGGGGTCGTGGTGGATAGCTCAGTGAAAATGTCAACCCAGTGTGCTTCAGTGGTGAAAAAGGCAAACTCTGTGTTGGGGATTATTAGGTAAGGGACTGAAAATAAAATGGCCAATATTATAATGCCCCTGTATAGATCTATGTTGTGGCCTCATTTGGAATACTGCGTATGGTGCTGGTCACTGTATCTCAAAAAAGATATCGCAGAGCTGGGAAAAGTACAGAGAAGGGCAGTCAAGATGATGAGGGGGTTGAATCCCCTTCCCTATGAGGAAAGGCTGAAGAGTCTGGGACCTTTCAGTTTAGAAAAGAGACGACTAAGGGGGGACATGATAGAGTTTCGTAAAATTATGCGTTGGGTGGAGAGAGCTGACAAAGAGAAATTTTTCTCCCACTCCCAAAATACTAGAAGCTGATTGGCAGTAGATTCGGGACAGACCAAAAGAGATACTGAGAGTTATTACAATGAGGAATTCACTGCCAGGGGATGTAGTGATGGCCACAGGAATAAACCGCTTTCAAAGGGGATAAGATAGATTCATGGAGGCTACTAGCCATGGTGACTCTGGGGAACCTCCACATTCAGGGGCACTAATCCTCTGAATCCCAGAGCGAGGAGCAGGGCTCTTTTTGTAGAAAAAGCCCAGCAGGAACTCATTAGCATAATAGGCCACACCTAACAGCAGGAACTCATTAGCATACTGCGCCACACCCCCGACAGCACAGCTCATTAGCACATTAGGCCACACCCCCATGTTACAAGAAGTGTGGTCATCCAGCCACACCCACCTTTTGCTTGTTATTTTGTTTACCTTGTTTGTTGTCAAAACC